GTAAGATCATGGAGTCCAACCATTAACCCAGCGCTGCCGAGGTCACCACTGTCCTGTGTCCCCAAGTGCCACATCCACAGGGATTTGAAATCCCTCCAGGGATGGGGACTCCACCACCCACCCTGGGCAGCCCTTTCCAATGCCTGATCACCCTTTCCAGCAACAAATTCCTCCTCATGGCCAGCCTGCCCCTCCCCTGGCACAGCTTGAGGCCGTTCCCTCTTGTCCTGTCCTGTTGTCCCCTTAGGAAGGTGGTAAACGGGATTCCCACCACCTCCCTGGGAAGCCCCTGCCAAGGCCTGAACACCCTTTCCATGAGGAAACTCCTCCTGATGTCCAGCCTGACCCTCCCCTGGCCCAAGGTGTGGAAATGTTGCAGGTTGGAAAATAAGTAGCTTTAGGTGAAATCCTTGAAGTACAAAGACCACTTTTCCACTCTCCATGGTTCAGAGAATCACAGAATCCCAGAATCCCAGGATCACTGAGGTTGGAAAAGCCCTCCCAGCCCATGGATCCACCCTGTGCCCTGTGCCCCACCTTGTCCCCCAGCCCAGAGCACTGAGTGCCACGGCCAGGCCTTCCTTGGGCACCTCCAGGGATGGGCACTCCACCACCTCCCTGGACAGCCCCTGCCAAGGCCTGACCACCCTTTCCATGAGGAAATTCCTCCTCATGTCCAACCTGACCCTCCCCTGGCACAGCTTGAGGCCGTTCCCTCTCCTCCTGTCCCTTGTTCCCTGGGAGCAGAGCCCGACCCCCTCCCCGGCTCCCCCCTCCTGTCAGGGACTTGCAGAGCCAGAAGGTCCCCCCTGAGCCTCCTTTGCTCCAGGCTGAGCCCCCCCAGCTCCCTCAGGAATTCTCCAGCCCCTTCCCAGCTCCCTTCCCTTCCCTGCACACGCTCCAGCCCCTCCATGTCTCTCCTGTCTGAGGGGCCCAGAACTGCCCCCAGGATTCCAGGGGGGCCTCCCCAGTGCCCAGCACAGGGATGGGCACTGCCCCAGGTCTGTGCCCAGACCTTCTTAGGCCCAGGTCTCTCCCTTTAGTCCCTGTACTACCCAACTTAGGCCTGGGCTCCCCGCGCTTGTCAGAGCCCAGCGATGGAGGGGACTTAGCCAGGAGCAAGAGCAGCAGCTCTGCCTCAGCTGGGGGACAGAGGCATGAAAAACAACCACGACACTAATTTCAGTCACCACAGGCCTTTGGAAACGCTCGACACCAGGGGCAGCATCCAGGCTGCTTTGTGTTCCTTCCTCCTTCCCCCCATCCCTGCTTTTCACCTCTCAGTGCCCGGGCGCCCTCAGAGGAGCTGCAGCAGCCCGAGGGGGGATTTGTCTGTGCCAAAATACACATTTCACGCTGCAGCTCAGCAGAGGAAACAACAAACACCGAAGTCCAAGGCCCTAACAGTCCAATTTTCTCCCCTGATTGCCGCCGTGCCTGAGCTTAACAGAGTAAATAATGAACAGCAGTGCAACAAACTTCCCAATAAATCGCTGCTGCTGATTTTCACACAGGTCATCCAAGAGCAAATTTAATGATTACATGCTGGTTGTGGCCACTTCATTTTTTTTTTCTCCCCCCCGCTCCTGGCTCACTTGTTAGATCCAATCAGCAAAGGAAAGAAGGGAAAATGAAGTAAAATGCCTCATTTCTGAGCACATCCCCCGTTCGAACGTGATCTGCAGGGCACGGCTCGGATTGACAACATGGTTTTGGCCTGTGATGAAAGAATGGGGTGAATACACCAGGGATGGGTGCCTGGAGAGCAATATTTGACTTCCCTGCATTTTCCTTTGGGGTTTCTCATCCCTCATGGATGTTGGAGCACAAAACCCCTCAGGGTAGAACCTCCCCTGCTCTGCCCACACACGCCTCAGGTTCCAGTTGCTACTGGGATAAAATTCCTGTGGGAATTTCAAGTGTAGTGGGATGAATCCTTGGGTTATAAATTCCTGAGATCTGAGCACGGGCAGCTTTGTGGCCTGCAGGGTTTGCAGGGATGGACAGGGCTCCAGTGCCCCAATGGGAATTAACCCCCAGGACTAAAGATTAGAGTACAAGTAGTCATTTGAGTGACTTTTCCACATCTCAACTCAGTAAAATGACTCTCTTTTCACCCCAAAAAATCTCCCTGCTCGTTTGTGAGCAATAGAATGGATGTTTGGGTGACTTCTCCAAGTCTCAGCTCCATCAAATGACCCTTTTCCTCCCAAAAAAATGCTCCCAGCTTGTCTGTGAGAGCAGTAGAATCGACATTCCTGCAATGCTAATTTCCCCTTGGCACCTCTCCCTGTCTGAGTGCCCTCCCTTTTACTGCCATCACCACATTCCAAATGGGATTTGCAATTATGAATAAAATAAAACGCAGCCAATAAGAGGCAGAAAGAGGCTCAGGAATCTGTTCCAGGTGGAGCTGTCTCTGAATGGAGGGCAGAGGATGAGGTTGGGGGGATCCACACCGTGATATCCCTGGAGGGTTTCTCCATCCATCCATCCCTTCATCCATCCATCCATTCCTATCTATTCTATCTATCCATGCCAGTCAGGCAGGTTTATATCATCCTTAATCCAGAGGATATGGAGGGAGGAGACCCCCAGGAGAGGATGAGCTGGTGACTGACACTCCACCATGAAAGGAATCACAGCAATTTGCTTCACCTTCCACTTCTGGAGGCTTCAAAACCACGGGATAATTAAAACCCCGTAAAGATTATGAGGCTGTAAAGGGGAAATAGTGAAACCCTCATGAACTTTTACAGCCCCCCCATGAAAATATTCCGGTTTGTGGGGTGGAGAAGTGTTTCCTTGTCTCTTGAAGCACCAAAGGAGCACTTCCATGTCATGACTCCTCTCTGAGCCTTGGCACGGTGACAAGTGTTTCACGTGGATTTACGACCCCAAATCTCTGGGGTGTCCTGCAGGGTCATGTCAGGACAGCAAAAGCACTCCTAGGCAAGGAATAGAATAATGGAATCATGGAACGGTTTGGGTTGGAAGGGACCTTCAAGACCATCTTGTTCCAACTCTCCTGCCATGGGCAGGGACACCTTCCGCTATCCCAGGTTGCTCCAAGGCCTGTCCAACCTGGCCTTGGACACTTCCAAGGGTCCAGGGGCAGCCACAGCTTCTCTGGGAAATCCATTCCAGCCCCTCCCCACCCTCCCAGACAGCAATTCCTTCCCAATATCCCACCTGACCCTGCTCTCTGGCACTGGGAAGCCATTCCCTGTGTCCTCTCCCTCCATGTCTTGTCCTCAGTCCCTCTCCAGCTCTCCTGGAGCCCCTTTAGGCCCCGGAAGGAGCTCTCAGCTCTCCCTGGAGCCTTCTCTTCTCCAGGGGAACATTCCCAGCCTGGCTCCAGAGCAGAGGGATCCAGCCCTGGGAGCAGCTCTGGAGCCTCCTCTGGACTCTTTCCAGCAGCTCCACGTCCTCCTGCTGTTGTTCCCAGAGCCGGAGGGAGAACCAGAGATGTTCTCTGTGGTCTTGTAGGAAGGTCCCACACTGAGGATTGGGTCCCTTCAGGACAGAAGTGGGGTGTGTTGTGCTCAGATCCAAGACAAAGGGGGTTCTTGGGTCAGTGCAGAGTTTGCAGCAACTTCATGTGGTTTGTTCCCTTTGGAAAACCATCCTCCGCTGGGAATGTGTTATAAATCCCTCATCTGTGTGACTGAGTTCCACAGGTTGGGATGGGGAAATAGTTACCAGGCAACAAAGTGCTGAGGAAAGGAAAAGTAAATGCTGGCAGGGCAGTGGCAGAAAGTCTCCCAAGGGTTGATGCTCTCAGGACATTTGTGCTTCTGTTCCATCCATAAGAACTGATAAATCCAGGACAGCCAGAGCCTGCCAAATGTGCCCAAGACCATGAGGGACATGAGGGACATCCATGAGACCCAAAAAGGGTGGTGGCTGCTGTGTGGAGAGAACAGGATCACACAGACACCTGAGGGGCACCATGTGCTCTCAGGGGACTTTCCAAACACCTCCTCAGAATCTCTGGTGTGTCAGCACCACCTTCTTCTTCAAGAAGGACCCCAACAGTGGCTCCAGATGGATGTTTAGGGGTGTGTGTGGACACTGGGAGCGGATCAGCAGTGGGGTGTCTGAGAGAGTTGTTTACTATGAACAGGAACAGCTTGGCTCTGCCCACAGCAACAGCTTCAGGAATAGGAATGTTCCCAAAATGTTCCCTCCCACCCCCACTCCCTCCCCTCTTAGATTTGAAACAAACACCGACACACAGCCCAGACCCTTTGCAAGGGAATTTTTCCCTCGTAAAATAAATAAAACCCAGTCTGACATTAGGCCACAGCAGCTCAGTCTGAATTCAGGAGTAAAACCCAGTCTGAATTCAGGAATAAAACCCAGTCTGACATGAGGCCACAGCAGCTCAGTCTGAATTCAGGAATAAAACCCAGTGAGAATTCAGGAATAAAACCCAGTCTGAATTTAGGAATAAAACCCAGTCTGAATTTAGGAATAAAACCCAGTCTGACATTAGGCCACAGCAGCTCAGTCTGAGTTCAGGAATAAAACCCAGTCTGACATGAGGCCCCAGAAACTCAGTCTGAATTCAGGAATAAAACCCAGTCTGAATTTAGGAATAAAACCCAGTCTGACATGAGGCCCCAGAAACTCAGTCTGAATTCAGGAATAAAATCCAGTCTGACATTAGGCCACAGCAACCCAGACTAAATTCAGGAGTAAAACCCAGTCTGAATTAGGCCAAGCAGCTCAGCCTGAATTCAGGAGTAAAACCCAGTTGGAATTAGGCCACAGGAGCTCAGTCTGAACTCAGGAATAAAAAGTCTGAGATGAGGCCACAGCAGCTCAGCCTGAATTCATGGATGTTGAGAAGCTCCTTGAGGACTGGAGTTGAATGATTCGGATCATTTCCATGCTGATGGAACCTTGGAGAACACCGTGAATTCGGACCTGGAAAGGAACCTTTTAATCACCACGAACCCACAGTTGTTACAACCCAGACAGAGCAGAGGAGCCTCTGAAGAGTCTTTAAACATCCTTTAATTTTGCAGTTTCAGGACACCCAAGTTACACAGCTCAGGGAGAACCTCTCTCAGCAAGTGAAGCCCAGCTGGGTCAACAATTTATTTGCCAAATACAAGTGGAGTGTGATCTTATTTTTGAGGAATATGGTCAAGACTGAGTGTCCCTCAGCCCACAGAGCTTGGATCTGCCCTCCTGCCCTTGCTGATCATCGGTGCTGGGCCACATCACCCCGTGTGTCCTTCCAGAACATCAAATGACAACGACAAAATATCTTTGGAGCTGGGCAGGCTCCAAAGATACACTGGGAACAAGAGAATTAAGCTTTGTTATTATCTTATGTTGGCAATTCTCTCCATCGCCCGGTGCCAGATGGCTCTGGGATAATGAAAAAGTACAAGTGGGAAACAAATGGTCCCGTGTTCCCTCCCACACTGAGAACTGGCTGAAGGATGTATCGGCTGAAGGAGTAAACAATGAGGTCTCTCTGCAGTGGGAACAGCAGAAAACTTCATGTGGAGCTTCTCCACTTTTCATGTGGAGAAAACTCTCATGGAGAACTCGCTGCAGAGCTGAGCAGGCCCCAAAACAGGGCTCCAAACCATCAAGATCCTGACAGGGCTGTGCTTGACTGTCATGGTGCTGTTTATTTAGCGTGGTCTGAACTCCCTGACCTGACCCAGCGTGAGATCTTCTCTTTGCCCACCCCACCAGAGACAGCAGCTTGTTTTTACACCCCAAAGCAGAGCAGAGCAGAGCAAAGCCAACTATCCCACCCCAAACTCCACCAGGATTCCTGGTCCTGCTGTGGGAGAACACATGAAGAAGCATGATGATGAATACACGTCAGAACCCCCCCAAAAAACAACCCCAACCCCAAATCCCAGGTGGCATTTCCCTCCCCACCAGCACACAAACAGAGGCCTGGACCTGCCACCTGCCAGTCCCGGCTCTGCCAGGGGTGTGAGGGGCAGGGTGGGTCACACCGTGGTGATCTTCTTGTCCTTGGTGGCCTGTTTGATGGCAGCCTGCTCACAGATGATCTCCTTGAGCCTCTGCAGCCTCATGTTCTGCGTGGTCTGGTCCCCCACGCCCGTCTGGCTGCGGTGCAGCAGGTTGAGGGCGTAGATGTACTCCAGCTCCGTGTACTTCACCCCCTGATCCACCACCAGGTTCAGCAGCTCGTCTGCGGTGTTGTAGAGCATCTCATAGTACTGCCTGCAAAGCAAGCAAAGGAGAAAAACACCCTGGTAAACGCTCCAGACTTTTATTCCTGCAGAATCGCAGAATCATGGAATCGGCCGGGTTGGAAAAGCCCTCTGAGATCATCCAGTCCAACCCTTTATCCAACCCCGCCGTGGTTCCCAGCCCGTGGCACTGATGCCACATCCAGTCTCATCCCAAACACCTCCAGGGATGGAGAATCCACCCCCTCCCTGGGCAGCCCATTCCAATGGCTGAGCACTCTCCACGGGAAACATTCCTTCCTAAAAATGGCATCAACTCTTGCTTTTATTCAGCAGAGAAACATCAGGTGCTGCACAAAGAGAGCACAAACATCTTCCCATGGAACACCATCACAGAATCCCAGGATGGTTTGGGTTGGAAGGTACCTTAAAGATCAACCGGTTCCAACCCCAACACCTTTCACTATGCCAGGTTGCTCCAACCTGGCCTTGGACACTTCCAGGGATCCAGGGGCAGCCACAGCTTCTCTGGGAAATCCATTCCAGCCCCTCCCCACCCTCCCAGACAGCAATTCCTTCCCAATATCCCATCTGCCCTCTGGCAGTGGGAAGCCATTCCCTGTGTCCTGTCCCTCCAGGCCTTGTCCCCAGTCCCTCTCCAGCTCTCCTGGAGCCCCTTTAGGCCCTGCAAGGGGCTCTCAGATCCCCAAATCCCCCTGGTTTAGCCTGATAAAAGAGGGGGTTTGTGCAGCTCCCAAGACAGGGGGGGAGGTAAGGATGGGCCCCTGCACATCCCTGTGTCAGCTGCACTTTGCAGAAGGGATTTAGGAGAGTCCTGCAGCCCTACAAACTCCTCAGGTTTGGAATGTCACCCTGTGCCAGCTGCTGATCTCAGTCCCCGTGTGTGTGACAGGGAACCCCAAAACATGACAGTCGATACAATCCCAGAAGGTTCGGGTTGGAAGGGACCTCACGGCTCATCCAGTTCCAACCCCAACACCTTCCACTGTCCCAGGTTGCTCCAACCTGGCCTTGGACACTTCCAGGGATGGGGATGGCAAGTCTTTTTTGCTCCAAAGCACAGGACTTCACCTTCCCAAGGTCACAGAGCACCTTAAAATAAAGAGAAAGGACTAAATCTGCTCTGTCTGAAGCACAAAGGGATCACTGGATGAGCTCAGTGATACAGGCCCGTCTTTCCCCACATCCTTCCACCTTCCTTTCTTCTCACCTCTCCCAAATCCCGTGTGTGTGACAGGGAACCCCAAAGCATTCTGTGCCACCCCAGCACACGGGACAGTCGATACAATCCCAGAAGGTTTGGGTTGGAAGGGACCTCATGGCTCGTCCAGTTCCAAGCCCGACACCTTCCACTATCCCAGGTTGCTCCAACCCGGCCTTGGACACTTCCAGGGATGGGGATGGCAAGTCTTTTTTGCTCCAAAGCACAGGACTCGTGGCCTTCCCAAGGTGACAGAGCACCTTAAAATAAAGAGAAAGGACTAAATCTGCTCTGTCTGAAGCACAAAGGGATCACTGGCCAAGTTCAACAATACAGGCCCATCTTTCCCCCTCATCCTTCCACCTTCCTTCCTTCTCACCTCTCCCAAATCTCGGCCGACCGAAAAATAATTCTGCCCCTGACAACCACAGAATTCACCTGCCACTCTTCCCGAGATCAGATTATTTTTTAATTAAAAACTTCCCCTAAAATAAAAACGAGACAGCGGGAGAGAGAGAACGAGAGCGCGAGAGCGAAAGGTGCTGCATTTTTAATTGGGTGCAATTAAAAACCTGCTGCCTTGGCTTGGCACTGCCTGGGGCCAAACCCTATTTGCATGAGTAATTATTCACTCTATTACCAAGTCTGCTCGACTTTGCCTCCCCTTGTCTTTGAAAGTATTAATAAATATTGATCAGGCCCACTCCTGTTTGCCTTCGCCCAAGCGAAGCTCCGATGGACTCATTTTTTGATGTTATCAAATAATGAAATATGAAAGAAGGGGGTGGGATGAGCCTCTTGCTCTGTGATTTTTTAATTTTTTTTTATTTAGGCTCCTTTGATTTTCAAGGGGAGGTTGTGGGAAGCAAGGATGGGATGGGGGGGAATAAATGGACGCCGGGTGAGAGGGATCTGCTCAGTGAAATCCTTTTTTAAAGGTGAGCTTTTAAAACCAGGGAGGAGAATTAATATTCATCGAGGGCTCCTTCCATCATCTGACAAAGAGGTTAATAAATAATAATATGGGATTAGCACACCTAACCAAAGAGGAAATTTAGCTTCCCAAGCTTTCTTTTGGCTTTAACGTGGGCACGTGGAAGCTGATTTACCCTGTACAGGTCACCAGCCTGGGCAGTAAGAGCTTCCAGGGCTCAAAAATGGGATATTTGGGGTGAGAAGAGATCAAAGCTGAATTTACAAATGTATTCACTTGAGTATGAAATGTCTGAGGTTGGACAGGGCTTGGAGCAAGCTGGGATAGTGGAAGGTGTCCCTGCCCATGGCAGGGGTGGGAATGGATAAGCTTCAAGGTCTTTTCCAACCCAAACCATTCCAGGATTCTAAGAAGTCAGAAATGCAGCTGATGGGAACAAAGTGACCTGGGAACTCATGAGGGAAATCTTTATGTTTGTGTGTTTATTCACTCATTTATAATTTTATTTATATTTTGCCAAAAAGCATCGATGGGACTTGTTGAGTTGATCTGATAGGAGAGGTTTTATACCCTAAATCTGGGGCAGATCCTTCTGGAGCATCTCTCCTAATTTCCTATGGAAATAAGTCCTGTTTCACAAGGGCAAGGAAGCATTAATCTGGCTCCAAACCTTTAGCTCTTCAGGATCTTAAATCCCTGGTCAAACCCTCCACTTAAGCTCAGCTTTAGCATTGATGGTCTCATTTTGGGGGAGATAAAGGCTGCCAAAAGTATCCAAAATCATTAATATGCTGCTCATACAGGATGACCAACTAGTTTTGATGGTTTGGATGACCAAGATTTGTTATTTTTTAATAATAAAATCCATCCTTCACATCCCAATTTTGACATCTGTGACCTGATCCACTGACCACCGACGGTGGGATTGGGTTCAAAGGTGCCTTGAATTTTTTGGGGCATTTTTTGCAGGACAAACCTAAGAGCAAATGATACTTAAAGCCAAAGCTCAAAATGCACTTTTCCTCCTGGAATTGGCCCAGGAAGATCCACCCTGGCACGAAGAACAGCTCTGTGCTAAGAGCACACAGGGAAGGGTGAATATCCCTGGTGGAAATGCTTCCCAGGGGCAGGAAAAAAAACATCCCACAGCAAAGCTGAATAAAAGCCAACTGAGCCACAAACCAGTTTGGTTTTTAAACAGCCCTTTTAAAAGAAAACATCAAGTTGCCAACAAAGAACCCATTTTGGAAGGGGGAATTTTGAGCATATATATATATATATATATTTAAATATATATATTAAAAATGGTCTCTTGAACTCTACACTTGGAGAAAAAGAATAAAAATTAAGAAGCTTTCTCACTTAGAAAAAAAAAACCTCTCAGGAAAGGCAATCAGCTCCTCTGAGGGCTATTAATACCCTCTTCCATTTAAATGTTAATGTTCACCTGTAACCCAAGGCCTGCTGCACCCAAAAAAAACGTTTTCAAAAGGTGGTCAGGTGAATTAGAAATGAAATTCTGATTTTCCCTGGGAGTGACTTGATCTCTTCTTCAGAGAAGGACCCTCAGATGAGAGGAATAAAGGATCTCACTTTAATTATTCCTTCGTTAGGGAGCTGGGGGCTGCTCCGAGCAGTGGAGACAGAAAGAGAGGCACAAGGCAAGAACTCAGAGCTGGGCGTGATTTACCCAGAGGGAACAAAAAAAAAGGGTCTATATAAATTTTGTGCCTTATCTCCCTCTCTTTTTGGGGATTTGGGAGGCCCTTGGACAGCCCCCAGAAGTGTTGCTCTAATAAAGAAAGTCAAAGAGGTGAAGCAGGAAGCACTGACACTAAAAATCTGGATAAAAACTAAATGAGGGGAGGTTTTAAGACAGGATTTAAGGAATGTTTTATGATGAGGGTGGTGAAAGACTGGCATGGGTTGCCCTGTGGCTGCCCCTGGATCCCTGGGAGCGTCCAAGGCCAGGCTGGAGCAACCTGGGATAGTGGAAGGTGTTTGGGTTGGAACTGGATGGGCTTTAAGGTCCCTTCTGACCCAAACCATGCTGTGATCCCATGAAAACCCACCAGAAGGCAAATGAAAAAGAAAATAACCCCAAATCTGTGGTTATAAAATCACTCAGTTCTGATATTTGCAGATCCTGGTGGAACCAGGACATTTAAATACGAGGGAGGATGTCAGTGAGGGCAAAAAGGGCAAATGCAGCAAGAAATTACTTCAGTCAAACATCTTCAGTTGAGTAATGCAGAAAAAAAATGTATTTTCAGGCCTGGCTTGACCAAGGGGATAATCCCTGAAGAATTATCTTCCCCAAGGAGACAAATTCTTCCGGTGTGGAGACATCTGAGGTGGGAAAGGGAGAGAGAGATGAGGACGGAGATGATGGTTCCAGGGGCAGGAGGGATGAGCTCCAGCTCCCAGGGTTTGGGAATATGAGTCCTGAAAACACCAAGCAAAGGAAAAATCCCTGGAAAGCAGCAGTTCCTGTAATTCCCACACCTCAGGAGGGCTGCAGAGATGTTTGCACATGTGTCAAGGAGCAGCATTTTAAAGCTGGTTGTTCCATCTTCAGAGCTTCTGATAACGAAACAGAAAATTGGGATGGGAGGGGTCTGCTACATTACATCCTGGAATGGATTCAAATCATGGAATGGTTTGGGGTGGAAGGGACCTTAAAGATCACCCACCACTGCTCACCCTCAGCTGCAGCTACAACCCTAAAATAAGGGAATTCCATCACCCTCAGGACTCCATTCCAAAGGGAAATGTGGATCCTGAGGGACATTTCTTAAGATTTCTATCCTGATTTTTAATTAACCCGGAGCAGTTCTGGGGACAACAACAGGAATGTTCCTTCTCTGCCTCCAGA